TAAAGGGATGATCGGTTTAATGTGATGTTCCGTCTAAAGAGATGGTCGGTTTAAAGTGATGATCGGTGTAAAGGGATGATCGGTCTAAAGGGATGATCGGTTTAATGTGATGTTCCGTCTAAAGAGATGGTCGGTTTAAAGTGATGATCGGTGTAAAGGGATGATCGGTCTAAAGGGATGATCGGTTTAATGTGATGTTCCGTCTAAAGAGATGGTCGGTTTAAAGTGATGATCGGTGTAAAGGGATGATCGGTCTAAAGGGATGATCGGTTTAATGTGATGTTCCGTCTAAAGAGATGGTCGGTATAAAGTGATGATCGGTGTAAAGGGATGGTCGGTGTAAAGGGATGATCGGTTTAAACACATGGTCGTTCTAAAGTGCTGCTAGGTTTAAAGTGATGGTCGGTGTGAGAGGTTAATTCATTAACATACCTGTAGATATAAGTTGATAAACCATGTTAACGAGTACTGGTACATAGGTTCAATATTCGCCAAGTCAGATATACAGAAAAACAACACAGACGAATGCGTAGCTACAGGTTGGTATCCATTACGAGTCTCGTCAATCTCTTGTTCTGTAGCTGTGGCAATTTCCTATAAAAAAGTACCAAAAATTTCATTGCTTGTTTTTTTATAAACTAATAACGTTATAAAACGCTCGAAAGAGGAGGACACTACAAAATAAAGCAATCAAGTTTTGGTCTGTTTCTAACAACCACGCTCTAACTTCGTACTTTCTAGCTTTCGTGGACACCCGCCATCTTGATACATCACTACCATGATGCACTTTGCGACGTGTAGTAACGTCTTAATTGAAACGATTGTAGCCGTGTTAATAAACCTAACCTGTTTAGCAGAGATTTCTTCAGAGAGAACTTTAGAAGACGAGAGAATTTTAATGGCTGTTTCGTCCTCAAGAATATTGCCCTGGAAATTAATAAATGCAGTTATTCAACCTCAACTTGACAAATTTCAACATGTTACAAAGATATTTCCGTGTTGTTTTTGTATACGTACCTCGGATGACGATAGAACCTCTAGAATTTTGTCCTCGATTTCTTTAAGCTGAAGGATAAATAGCAATAATTAATGCAACGAAAAAACAAGATGTCGACATTATTTTCCATGAGAACATTGTCACGTTATTGTACAATTTTACACATATTTCTTTCCATTCCATTCATCTTAAACAAGCATATTTTGCTAATGCACAATCCACGAGTTGCACACATGACATCCACGAGTTTCATCATACACAATCCACGAGTTACCTGTTTCTTATTCTTCGCTCCCTCGACGATCAGCTCATTCTTCTTTTCTTCAAGTTCAGGCTTCTCTTTAGCAGCCACAATACCAAGAAGCTGGTCYTCTAGACCGAGTGGTGTGATCATGAAGTTAAGTAAGGTCACTTTAACGGAGATTWCYGGCAAGTAGTGAGGGTTACGAAGCCTTGTCGTGATRTAGAATCGAAAATCCTTGGAGTATTCAATGCTGTTYTCTCCAAGTTTGATGTACTAAGGTGACAAAACATWWCGATAAGCCKGRCARATCAMTTAWTARATRTRGATTTAMAATMATTACCTCAACACCRCCCTGCTTAAAGGTTTGCTTTAACAACAGTGGTTCRAGAATAGGATCAAGCTCCTCTCCAACATTCTCYAACAGGACTGGRGTACCAAACTATAAGAACAAGCAACACATCAATCCAAACAACTGGACAATTTTCGGTAATAAACAAGTGTCATGTGATGTGCCTCAAGCCCTTTTATGTACCGAAATACCGAAAGTCAGTAAGTTCAGGGTTTAATATAATAGACAAATGCATGGTTTTTATTAACATATTTAAGGCTGTCAAGCTTCAACTATTTTTTATACAACTACACTTCTGGAGTTATAATGTTTGGAAATGCATAGTGCTGAGTTCGAACCTCAGCATAACAGACACGATAGGGTTTACATCAGCCTCGTCTACATGTTCATTTTTAATATACAAAGTGCAATAGTGTGCGATACATATCGAAAAGAGGAAGAAAAACGTACAAAAACAGAGTAATTAAGTGTGTTTCACGGGTTAATTATCAACGCAACCTCAATCCCAGGCCTTTATGCCTTCGGTTGTGCGGTTGGTGTCAGGCGGAGCCTTGGAATGAGCTTAATTATCAGTGATACATACCGTTATGCTGTTCTCTAGTGTTCGTACATAATTCGCGTCTGATAGCTTAATGACTGACAACTTGTTTTCCTTCTCCATGTTCTTAACCCATTTATTTGCTTGACCTTTAATGGGAAAATAAAATTGTTAGTATGCAATGATCATTGTTACCACACAGTATGGTGCAGGGAAGTGTGAAGGACACTATTTAATCTATTCACTATTTAAATATAAGTCCCACTTCTGTTATATCTTTTCAATAATTCCCTGGTCCTCCCTAAAGTACTAATGATGTATTATGAGGCAGCTTTCGAATGCATGACGATTCGCAAGGAACAGGCAACATTTAAGAAGTCAGTCATTTATTCTTGCGTAGTGTGAAACGCAAATACATGTCCAAACGTTCAAACAATTTTGGAAACGATTGTAGGCAGTCAAATCTTATCAATAATTTATTATTGATAACTTATTTATTGCGGCAATCTGAAATAATCAGCGCTAACAAAGCCAAAAAGAGCGCAGGGCGTTTTTTGTTAATACTTCTCATTTCTGTCATGCAGGAATTTAACAATCTAAGCCCCTGTTTACTGTACAACCATACCTTGTGGATCGATCATAAGTGGCCATCGACGAGCGTTATCAACAATAATACCATTATCCACAGAGAAAGAGTCAACAGGCAGCCCAGCGATATTCCATGCACGKATCTTGACAGGTTCACCAAGCGTACCGTTGAGAGAAAACGAGTCGGAGCAGGGAATCTTACGACCATTGCATTGTTGAACCCATCCTTGGATACATTCCTAATAGGTATGGAATACAGTATTAATACAGTGGGAAAAAATATTTCAACCACAAGGAGACTCGAGGAAAAACGTTTTTATTTGCATTCGTAATGTATTTGAGCCCGCAGACTTTCCGACTTATTGTCAGCGGTCTGTTTGACAGCAAACGTGCAGGCTCTGGGTACGAGATTTGTTTAACTGGAAATAACAACAGACCGCTGAGATAAAATCAAAGCAAGAATCCTGGACAAACTACTTTCTGAAATAAATATCTGCGGCTACTGGTAGACAACAAGGCTTTACGCCTCAGACAGACAGACAAACGAACAAGAGAATCAAGTACTTACATTTCTGAAGTCCACTGTAAATGGTCCAAGATAGGCGACCACACCAGACGATAACAAAACATCACCAGTAACTTTAGTATATCTAGGGATAGAGGTTAG